TCAGTAGGTAGAGTGGGTGAAAAGGAAAGACACGTTGGTAGATCTCACGGTTTCGCGGCTAATGAAACACTTGATGGCTACCGTCTGTTGCCATTAGGCCGACGTACCTGGCTATTACCGACTGTCACTATCACTGACGTAGGCATAGAAAAACGTCTTTTGATATGGAGACTAACAAAACTGACTTACAGACTGACACAAATTGATTTCATCGCTTTATGTCATTGATTGAGAGACAAAATTCAAGACTTCTGCTCATTCAGGAGCACTTGTTTGAATTTAGAACTTGTCCTCAGTTCTAAAACCTTAGGACTGAACTTATGGGTAGAACAGTTGAGGGATGAGTTCTGGTGGTCATGAGCCACATTTTGTCTGCAGACGATCTTCAGTCATCCTGAATGGCCAATCACTGTCAGTATTCCGACTCTTTAAGAAATGAAAAAAGCGATTGAAAATCTGAAGCGACTGAGAGCAACAGGGGCAGAAACGATGGCTTTTCGTAATTATTAGAAATGGTCTTCCAGTTTCAGTAGTTAGACTAACCGAGATCTTAGGTAGAATTTGGGAACGTGGCGTGATCCCATCCGATTGGTCTCTAATTCCCACTGTCACAATTTATAACGAAGAACAAAAGTCTTATTTTGAAAATCTCAGTATGACCAGTCTAAATAATAATGTTTCTAAACTGTAATAATTGATTATAGTGAGACGCCTAACTAGAGCTTGTGAAGAGAGGACAAGAGAAAACTATGCTAGCTTGAGACCAGTACTTGGATTAGACAAAATTTTCACATCACGACAGGTTCAGGAACACAGAAACAATAAAGCGTCCGACATTAGTTCTCTTCCTGGACATTAGGAGGGCATTTCACTCAGTTGATCAACAGGTTCTGTGGCAGTGCTTTTCAATGAAACCCGTAGTAAAGAAGAACATTACATGAAAATTAGCTGTCTACTGGAATACAGAAGGTCAAGCTGGAGTTAATGGCAAACTGTTATCTCAATTGATTACTTCTAGCGTTGTTCATCATGGATGTCCACTTTCTCCATCCCTGTTTAATTCTGTCATTGACACGCTTATAGATATAACATTATCTGCCTCTGAATTTTCAGGAGAAGTGTTTCTACTAGGAAATTCACTGGTTGACTCAGAATATGCCGTTGACAAACTACTCATTGTTTAAGACGCAGCCAAAATGCAGTGATTCCTGACATCCCGAAACACCAATCCAATCATTTTGAATATGCGGTTCTACCTACTGAAACTAGAAATGAAGCTTCATGATTGATTTGCATCCGCACGTGATTCAGTGAAACGGAGTGAATCAGTTAGGCATGTTGACCGCTTTACCTATCTGGATAGTCTCATCAGGGCTGATGACCTGATGTGTGACTGAATAGCAACACTGATACAGAAAGCTTTACTGACCCTAACCCTTATGTGCGTCACTTAAGGCTTGGACAAGATATCCGTTCGCCAACAGAAAACGAGAATACTGCACAGCAGTTCGCTTCGTCTTTCTTAACGACTATGAAACATGGTCAGTTAGAGTAGCAGATATTCCAAGATTGCTGGTCTTCGAAAATAGGTTTGTCTGGACGAAGTGAGTAGTGATGCTGTTAAGAAACAGGTCCCAGGTAAGGATGGCAGGACAATAGATGAATTATTTAAACTGCATCGGTTGAGGTGGTTGTGACATACATTATATATGCTAACCACAATCAAGCTGTGTTTTGTGGTAAAATAGTGGATTGAAAGGACGTTTCATGTGTCAAGATCGAAGCACAGCTCAAATCCATGAAGTCACTGAGAATAGAACTGAGTCATGTTGGTAGGGGTCAAAAGCCTGAAAATGGCCGTGCGAGATAGTAGAAACGGATAGTTGGAGACTCTGAATGACATGTCTAAAAATATTTTGCCATGTCGGAGGTGCATTCGACATTTTTTTTCATATAACACAAACTTTAATTTTTCTCGACACGTTCATCTTTTTTCTTGTGTTTATTTCACTGGATTTTATTACTTCGAAAATACCGTTGAACCCTTATCTGTCTGATTACTGATAATACATTAACTACCACTACTGCTATCGTATTTGTAGTATCAATTGTATTTCTGTGATACTGTTGTATGCCATTTTGAAATGATGAACGTACTATCGAAGTTCTACGTTGCAGTTGATTGATTGACATTCGTATCACAAATGTGTGATTCAATAAGATTAATATGTAACCACTTGATATTGCAACGTATTCATGTTCATGTTTACGTATACTGACTGATTTATGTAATAACTGTTACGGTTTCACAAGGTATGCAACAAGTAACATAGAAGGAATGTGATTACTAAGAATCTATGCTTTCTTCGCGAATATCAGCTGACAAAAATAAACCATTACATATACAGTAAGAAAAGCTGAAACATGTTACATAATTTATTTAAGCAAAGTGAACAAACGATTACAATAAAGCAACATGATGAAATAAAAATAGTTAAAATGAAATTTATTACTGAAAAGTTCATTACAATCAGAAGTCCTGAATTTGCGTTCCATGAGTTTTTATTTACCTGTAGCAACTAAATTAGAAACATTTAGAATCATCACAAATTTGTCCGATAAATTGAATAAAAATGTTACGTAATGTGAAGTTTGCAATATTTCACATTTCATCCAACCTTTGCAATGAAAACTGAATATTTGGGTTAATTAAAATTATTTCGATTCATACTTCAGCTGTACTTAATAAAGATTTTGTTATCATTATTCTTTGAAATGTAACCAATACTTAAAAGCCTAAATGATTTCAAAATTTATATGTTCCATTAAATAATAATTTATAATGTCACATCTCAACAACATCAAAGTAACTTCCGAATGCACATCGTGCAAATCAGACATTCACTAAACCAAGTTACTTCTCATGAAATATGTGTAGAAGAGGGAATTCAAACACTCACAATCGTTGTATGCCTTCTTGAGTATTCCATGAATCTCCATCAAGAATTCGAAATTAACTAAAATATCATAAAGTCATCACAATGTCTTCGAAATTAGAATGAATAAACTCGGATGTCAAATAATTTTTCAAAGTCTACCCATCCCGGCAATACGACTACATAACTAGTGCATCTGAAACGGATTTATCAAATCCTAAAAGTATCCTCTCTGCTAGTAATTTGTGGTGAGATGCAATAATTCATGCTCTCAAAGATAACGAGAATTTTTCATTTTCGATGAAAATTAGTAGTTGATGTATTGTCGAATACATAATCGATATAAATTTTACGAATTACGATTAAACGTTACACCTTAAAATGTTATGAAGCTGGCTTAATTGCTTCTAGTTCTAGAATATAGACACTTCACAGTGTATGTATTGTCCCCGAGTGTCTACATGCTCTGGTGTCAGTAAAGGGGCTGGTCGAAGTAAAATAATAAATTTGGTGCAAGGTTATACTCTCAGTTGATTTTGACTGTTTCCTTTTAGTCCACAAGAAAATAAGATGAAGTGTATAGTTAAATTTGTAACGGAAAAGAATTTGAAGGGAGTCCAATAAGTTTGTGGTAATTTATGGGATGAAAAGATAACATATGCTGAACGAAATTTGTGATTGTTTTAAGAGCTTTGGGGAAAAGTGGTCATGTTAATAATTATTTAATATATTTCGGAGAATATGTGAACGCTGAAATATAATAAAATTATGTAACCGTTCGATTCAATGTATACATTTGAATGATAATCTTGATCACATGATCTACGAAAAATGATAAACAGAGTACCTACATAATTCGAAGTTATATTTTCTTAGGCTGTTAGTATATTCAGAAATCTTATCATTAAGCTCTCCGTTATCTGAAAACAAATCAAATTACATTTGACAATTTATTGTATACAACAAATTTCGCCTTATATGCGTTTATAAATTCACTATTCATAAATCGAAATTCGGATTTCGTTTAGCTGGCAGCTTTAAATTAGAAGACAGCCATACATATTCAAAGGATTGATTTGTCTTAAATATCAATCTATTCAAAAATCATACTTCAAAAAAGTCATTTTGTCTTATAATATTTATATAAATTACCGATCCCATTGGAAGTCATTGGTGGCAGACACGAATTCATTGAGTACTTGCTTTGCATGACTATATAGTTGTTAAAATAAATATGACAGTTTTGAGAAACATGTTACAGATTTAGTTAATTATTATTCTGACAAAAGTTTTATTTTCTAACTAGTCGTTTAGAATATGTAAACCTCAAGCAGTCTTTCGATAGCACTATAAAATCAATCGGGAGCGTATACGAAATCAGAGAAACTGGTCGATATCATTTCCGAGCCTAAATTTCTCAAATAAGTTTGTTGCTTCATTATATTTAAACAGACGATAACAGTAAGATTTAATATTAGTTTTCAATTGCGATAACATGTTTTGTTTGTTTAAAATAGATTGTTTCCTTAAATTTTGTTGTTTCCTTAAATTCAAACAGACGATATAAGTTAAATTTGAAAATATATCACAGGAATATGATCACAAGTATTTTATGATTAGGCCTCTTCAAAACAAAATTACTTGATAGTCAAATGAGTGAAAGTTTTTTACTTTTTCTCATAACATTTCATTGATTAGCAGCACTTACTAGTATTGTATTTTTGTTGATCACTAAAGCATAATTTGCGTTCAGGAGATATTCCAAGCTTGATTCCTTCGATTAGATTTCGAAATAGAGAGAAATATAATAACTTTGTGAAAGAATACATATATATATATATATAAATATATATTTATTTATTAGACTGTTCCCTTTTGTTGAACGTCTCAACATTTTAGAAATCTACCTAATTATATGGAACAATCATGCAGTATAATTGAAAGTGACATTGACATCACAAATTCCTATTGTGATTGTCACTCAATAAATTATTTTAAAATGTTTGATAAATTTATCAAACCTAAAGATTATCGTCCATATACTCTGACCGTATAATAAATTAGTTAAATAAAATAGTGTATAAAACTGTGTTGCACACCGAAATCTCGTTCTTCCATTTCTATTGTTTTGATTATATCTAAGAATAATAGAACAAGTAAATTTCACGTTTCAATCAAAATATCTTCTTACAGTGCGTGAAACTTTAGTCATTCGTATACTCTACATTTTTGTTACATGTTGAGTTTGAATAAAATCCCGCGTACAACCATGAATCTTATTCTCCTAATAATCTAGTTCAAGTGTAGTGACATCAAAATACTGTTAGACGCTTTACATATATTACGGCAATTTTTATTTAGAATCGCTGTTGATAAAACAAACTATGAAATGTTTCTTGAGATACGTTTTGTATGTCAAAAACCAAGAATGATATTGGTTATTCTGTATGCGAATAATAATTTCTAATATAATAAGTCGCCAAAATCTGATTGAAATATCTTGAGATATTACTCACCTTCACTAAGTATACTGTTTTGATTAAATTTATAAAGTTCAGTTGTGCAATTCTCATCTACAATCATTTGTCAAATTATTATAATAATTGTGTATATTTCAAATTACATTCATCGATCGTTTCACGTTTGTTTGGATGTTGAATGTTAAGTACATCTGAAAATAAAAACATAGAAGATGTCTAAGATCGTTCACGAGCTTACAACGTTTGCTTTCTACATTATTTGTGCTCATATGTACACAATTAATCTGTTCAGACAATTGCTTTTCATTTGGACAAATGAATTTACAAAATTGATCTACCTTTCCTATGTTCTACTAGTTTTTCATTTATTCTCAAATCTTCTATGCGTTCACGTAGGACGTCTTCAAATAAAGTACAAAAGATGGGAAATTAATTCTTATTCAGCAGTTAGTCGATTACGGACACTCAAAACACACATGTAATCATGGATCTTGTTAACAGACTCTCCGAAGTTTTGTCAGCTGAACTCAACGTTTTCGAAAATTAGTATTGAAATCTTTTGCGTATGTTAAATTTTAAAACCGCGAGATTTTCTGAACGCTATCGTACCTTCAGACATGTTGATATACTTTTCCAGAGTGTAAATTTTATTCAATATGTGGACAACTGAAAAATAAATGTAAAGTTCAGAATACGGTAAATTCAGTTTAAAAGGAACTCTTGAAATATTATTGCTAATAACAGCAAACTTCGATATTGACTAAGTAAAATGACACTGATATAAAGTAATTACCACCAGGCGGTTCGTTTTTCAGATCTGACAATAAAAAGAAATACATTTCGGAGTGTACAGTGGTAAATATCATTCTCGCCTACCAAACTTCTATGCATTCATATAAAACATCGATTAAACTTGATATAATTGACGAGTATCAATCATCTATGTATTTATTGCATGAATCATCAGCTCCAACTCAATGAAACAAGTTTGCTCACTTGGTACACTATTGGACAATAAAATTTGTCTCAGTAACCATATTATTCATCTACCTTCTAATCTCTATATATTTATGATAATTAAGAGGAGCTTCAAAACAACGTCCTTAATAAAAACGAAACGTGTTGACAGATATATGAGAGAAAATTAAAGGGGTTAAATCAAATATAATACATATATAACTCAATGTCAATTGGGATTTACTGTTTACTGATCCATTACCAAGCCTTGTACCGTATTTTAAATTAGCTAAAATTACAACGCATAAGAAAAATTAGTTGAAATACTTTGTTTTATTGATAAGATTATTATCATTGAAGGTGAATGATTCACAGATATTGAAATGTTCAGTACGATTTACTGCAATTTTACGATTCGCTAATTAAATCTTTGTTTATTTGACGTTTATTTTACACAAAGTTTTATTTAAAAGGAACATCGTTAAATGTTAGTTATCTACAAATTCACACATGTAAACCAAAAAACCAAAATTTCAATATTTAACTAACTCAAACGAATACTGTAACTTTGTATTGACAACAATTCTTCAAAATTGATATCAGGTAATGGGTCCATAGCTATAAGAAATAAAAGATGATTTAGTTGATATTAAGAAAAAGAAATCGAAGATTATTGAATCCAGATTGAAAAAAGTGTTCAATTTTCTGTATCGCGTTTTTGAAGTATTGTTTTTCATGTTGAAGATGGAATTGAATATTGGTTTGATAAGATGAGCTTATAGATACGGAATTATAATTTTTGTCAGTTCCTTATCCTCCTGTTAATGAGCTCACATTGAGATGACAGATAATTTTCACAGTTACTTGGTGAGCACATATCTATTAAAGTGTCTTCTTGGTTAGTACTGTGATTAAAGCACCTCGGTTGCCAAGAAGTATGAACAGAGGTCTATAAAATTAAGTTCGCTTGCACAATCAAAAAACGAAAATTAATATATATTGATGTATTTTCACTCTACATGAAGAAAACGCTAACAAGTGGATCAAGAAACAATTTACTTCTTGCAAAGATTTTTTTATTCAAAATCTCTCAATATAATATTGTGACTGAGAAACGAACAACAGCCGAAATATTTTAATTTACGACTGGATAGTTCATCAACGCTAGTCATTCGAATAATCGTAAGTAATAATGTGATCCTGTGCGATAAAGTCTTTAAGAACATGAAAGAACTATTGAAAATTTTTATTTGTATCTTTTCCGATGAACTAAGTTTTCGCAGTTCTATTTTCAAGTGACCTGAACGATCAGTAGAGAATGAGCGAGCGAGTAAATCAAACATTGTTGGCTTACACACAGAGATATTATACAAAATTACGTAAAGAATATTTGAGCACATACCATCTTTCACGGAAGACTGAAGTGATAACAGAAGAAATATTTTCTGAAATGGAATGTCTCTATACATTTTCATAAAAATATTTCTTTCACTGATCCCTATTTATAGCTTTCGTAAGTTATATCGATCAGTGATTATCCAATGTCTCTATATGAGTGGCAATGATTGGTTGATCATTCATTAAATTTTTTTCACTCATTGGTTGCCATTCATTCAAATAAGCCAATATCTGTGATGTACATCGATGCATAGATCAGTGGACATCCGCTATACTGCCATGCCCACAATACCGAACATAAGATTCCACAATATATATATATATATTTATATATATATTTTTATGTGTGCGAATTTGAAATTAATGAAATGCATCACACAGAAGAAGTGTATTTCAAAAGCTAATGACTATTGTAAAAATTATGCTACTCATTTTATTTGGGTGCTATAAACTACAGTAATTGCCAATCAAGCATTTGAAGTACACAGATAGTAAAATCACATATACGTCATGTCAATTATAACAACGTATTTGGTATGTAACAAACTCACATTTAGTCGAAAATTCTGACTCAGTGAAATAATTTTAATTCAAAACAAATAAAATATAAATTCAATCCATACATTAATCGTTCATAAAAGAAAACAATAGTTTCATATTCATAGGTAGATAATGCATAAATAGTTTTATCGTTTTCAAAATATCAAACAAATTGCAAATCTTAGTGCAAAATGCATGTCTCACGAAAGCCTAATGTGTCTACAATCAATTCGATCGATTCATGCAAAATATTAAATGGAGGAAATACGATGAACAGAAATAATTCGTCCAGTCGTTGAAATTATAATAAAAATAATAAATTCAACGAAAAAAACTAAGATAATTCGAAATATTCAGTAACAAGTATATTGAAGTAAAGCCAAATAAATTACGGGAAAAATGAAAGAACACTCACATCAGTAAGCAATCACAATTTTGCAAATAAAAATGTTTGATTGTGTGCGCTGGATAAAAACAATTTTCACATCATCAGTTAATACTATAATGCGACGGAATGTTGTTGTATTTTGAGGTGAAACACGGGTTTCAATTTTTGTCTCGTAACCTATTTTCACACAGCGTTATCTATACTCACTTCAATCAAGCATCACATTCCTTCAAATGAACGTTTGATTGTGTGCGCTTGACCACTGTACACAGAACAAACGTGGTAAAAACATTTGGTACAGATCTCATCATCAAAATTAGGCGACAATATTCAGGAGGAAATATGGTTTAACGAGTTGTGAAGAAGTAAACATTGGTGACTGCGATTTGAATGATATTTAATCCTGACATCTATCAGTCAGTTGATGTGTCGTTGAACAGTCCACCACTGACGTTCACTCAAACTAATGACATACTATCACTGTGAATCTCATTGATAGACAACTGACAGCACGATATTTGTTTTTCACCTGTTGCATTTCATCGGCGGTGCTCAGTCGACACACCTTCTCTCGAATGAACAGATATTCCCGAGATCGCATCATGTGAGGCACAACCTGAGCAAAGTTTAGATCGTTCCACGAATGGTGATGTTAGGTTCCATTGCTGTCAAATAATTCAGAGCAGTCGACGCCAGATGGTTGGTGACACAACACAATCAGTTGTATGACTAATGATGCGAAGTGGCTTTCTGTGCAATCCATGGTGCTATATCGTCTCAGATCGCACTGTTGCGCTGAGTGCGCCTACATTTTAGTTGGAATGTTTGCTGCAGCAATCCAACCTAGTGACGTTCGTTCCACATGCTCCATGCATTATACACAAACACAATGAGATCGAATTGTCACACAATTGTTTGACGGTGAGAATTGTAACCCGTCGTCTTCTGGTTTCATGCTCACACCACTGTCCAGATTTCCTTCTGAACAAATTTCATCAATGACTGACGATCATCAGCTAACTCATTATGCTCTATTCTTTACTGAACACATGAGAATACGATGGAGGTTATATACGCTTGCGAACACTTTGCCTTTACATCTGTTAAACGCGTACGCATCAGTGCAGACAGTAAGTGCTTGATTGAACGACAAATTCATAAGCCACTGTTTGTGAAATTCAAAGTGATGCGGTCGAATCACTCAGTTGTCACGAGACAATTCTCATTTCCTTGAATCTTGGTGTTCCATTAGTATATGCTTTCCACTTTCATTAACGTTGTTCTCAGACAGATTACACAAATTTTACACAGTCTTATTCTCATCAAACACTGGATGGAAACAATTTTCACATCATCAGTCCATACTATAATGCGAATAACTAGCGACGGAATGTTGTTGTATTTTGAGGTGAAACACTGGTTTCAATTTTTGTCTGGTAACCTATTTTCACACAGCCTTATCTATACTCACTTCAATCAAGCATCACATTCCTTCAAATGAACGTTTGATTGTGTGCGCTTGACCACTGTACACAGAACAGACGTTGTATTATCATTTGATGCACATCTGTTTGTCGAAGTTATGCGAAAAAATTCAGACGTATTTGTTTTCCGATGCTATTAGTCCTTCGTTACTGACAGTTATTTTTTGATAGTTTGTTTTACTGTATATTTTCACTTATGTGCCTTTCTTCCTACTGTTTTTTTCTGTTTACTTCGATTTTTTACCTTTATTTTTTCCGATGTCTATCATTTGATCTTTCTTTATTTCTTTGTGAATGATATGCATAAATATTTGATGATTTGTAGACAGACAATAAATTTTCTTATCTCTCTTAGTTTAATTATCTTATAGGTCACATACTCAGTGAAGGCAGTCCTGCGATGATTTATGGATGCTGAAATTTTTAAATATCACTTGTGCTTCTGGCTGTACATTGCTTCGATATATAACGTTTTTAATTAAATTCATCCGCTTCAGTACAATTGTCATTTTTAGACATACTGACAATTCAGTAGATCGATAATAATATATTCTGCAGGTTTCTTGTCATAGTGGTTTTTTACACTCAACATGCACGAACGTTAGTTCATTTTCATGGTTTGTCCTATGAACGGGGCCTTTAAAATTTTTAATTTGCAAGGATATGGTTCAGCATTATTAATCTTAGTTACAAATGTAAATCAATTAAATCTGACAAACCAGCAGAATTCGTTAGGAGTAATTTTTTTCAATAAACACCTATTGAAAGAACACGCGGCTAGTTTTTTTCACATTACCTGTTTTCTTTTATCATTAGTTTTCTGGAGGAGCGGATCAGATGCATTGTCTTGTTCTCGTTAATCGACAAATGTGAATTCGTGATAGTTTTTTGAATATAAAGTGAAGAGTCTAACATTTAGTAAGTTAGTTCTCTAATTCACAAGGTTTCTTTATTGTACTCGATTACAATAACTACTGGTTAATTATTGGAACGTCCTGATCAACGCACATCACACTGAATGACAAAACATTTAAAACGTTCTCAAGGAAGTAATTCGTTCGTGTCAATATGCAAGTATTCAAGAGGACACTTTATTCAGCTACGTGAATTTTCTCACGAATCACGATCAAATAATTAGTGAGTTCGCTTCTTCGTAACTTGAGAAATATCGAAAGGTAACAAAAAAGTTCTATTGTGGTGAGTTTCCAAATCAGTATAGTAATGCAATATACTAAACGCTAGAACATGGATCATAAATACTGCACCTCACTCTATAATAGTGCAGTAATGTAATTAGGCTTTCTAATAATGAGCCAGTTTAGAAAGGCCTAATGTGTTTTATTTCACAATTCAACTCAAAATTCTATCATTTGTATGAAACCATGAAAAAAGCCATTTTGCCACCTACATTTCTGCGTCTACGGAAGAATACTTAATCTATTACTATCTTCATTTTATACTTACTACCTCCTTCCTTTGAAGTTAATGCCCATGAGACACCCACAATAAAATGAATGTATTTTACTTTATTGAGTTCGAAAACCTTATTTACTATAAAACTACTGTTTCAGTTTTTGTACGATTAACAAATTACATTGGTTTCGATGGTATCATTAAAATTAAATTTTTAATAGTAATTTACTTCCTTGCAAATTCATGTGTTGTTTTTTTCGTTTTCTACGTGACGTGCTTGCAATTTATATTTCTCTGTATCTATTTATTAATGAGTCTGTTGCAAAACGATTACGAATTATTTCGTGGCGGTTTAGTCATCTCTGTAAACCTACTCAACTATGAAATCAAAAGTCAGTAATGGAATATTTTTCTGTCATTACCGTGAAGAGGCAGGCTTAATCACGCGCGTCTGAAGACATTAGTTTCAAGTTGCTTTAAGTAGCTTTACGCATCACGATTTGAAACTAGGTGTTCAGAATTTTCTACTGTATAAAAGTAGTTAGAAAGTTCAGAAACGTGATAATATTAACTTATACTGCGTTGTGATACTCTTAGTTTGTCATTCGTTGGTTTATGCAAACATTCAGCTTGCTAGGGGAACTACATGATAACCACCTACATATTGTTAGGTCATTATTCTGCCCAACAAGTAAGAGATTTCAGCATGTTTCACCCCTGTTAAATTGCTTTGTAAGTTCGAGTCTTAGTTTGTCGTTATTTCAAAGTACAAACACATATCACTGCAATAATAATATATATAGGCACTTTATGTATTGACTACCTAGTTATTAATCAAGAACTACATTGATGCCAAACTGGAGAAATTAATTTTAGCTCAGCTGACTTTGTAACGGCAAATCTGTAAATGTGAAAATAAATCAGTCTATCAAACTATCTACCAATGTATTGATGAATTTTCCCATTTCCGAAGCGAAGCTAATTTGAATGTATTCTGATTCATCTTGAATGATAAATATTGCTGGCAGAAAGCGAAATGTTAGCAAAAATGCACTTGTATAGAAAAGATTATCGTATCAGAATTATTGTCGCTGTCAAATACTATTTATGGCAAGATGATTCGTAGGAGTATTGTTGAAAATTCGCAATTTTTACAAATGAAAGTCTGACTGATTCTTTGAGAAACGTTGTACACATTTTGTTAACCACTTCAAGTGCGTGAAAAGTTTTTCTTTACCTTTGAATC